GTTAGATCAACAATCTCAATCCTTACCCAGCAAACAGATTTTCAAGAAGCATAAACCCCCAATTAAAACAAAAAAGGAAAAGAAAAAACAAGAATTCAGTCAACAAACTCACAGATTTGGATAGAGAGGCATATCTGGAGGCTAATAATCTCCAGCTTCTTCAATAATTCTCCTTCTCTCACTACATGGGATTCTGAAAAAACCAGGTAAATCAACAAGAAACAAAGAAAAAAAGACTCTTTTGAGGTAGAGAGAGGTCTGATTCTGAATGAAGACGGCCCAGGTTTTGGAAGTTTTAAGGTGATACTGACACCACAACAAGAAAAGATTGCATCTTTCTTATCTTTAAACCACAAACTGTAGCATGGTAGTCGAGCAGAATTAAAATCTCTGTTTTGGGCATCTCCTTTTTCTGTATTTTATTTTATTTTATTTTCCCCTGTATACAACTTTATATGTGTCTTGTTTGTTTTGCTTTTACTGCTGCTATTGGGAATAAAGTTACAGAGACAAACAAGAGTAAAATAACACGGAATATCAAGAAGACTATATTTAAATGAGATAATAAAGACAGTATTTCAATTTTATTTTGGTCTGTATGTTACTTTTTTTTTTTTTGGGAGATTCTACTCTTCCGTTACGGAACTATTATGTCGGGATTTGTAACCGTTAGATCAAACTATTCACGACGGTTACATGATGATCTAACGGTTATAAATTCTGACGGAATGATTCCGTAACGGGACTGTAGTATGTGCCACTTTCTTTAATCATTTATTAATCATGTAGGTTTGATTTGATATAAATTCTTTAAGGAAAAAAAAAATGAATGAAAAAAAAAAGCAAATTAAAGTGTAGAAAAAAAAAAAAATGGTGGAGGAATTAAATATTTTTTTTTAAATAAGAAATCTAAAATAATAATTTTTTGCAGAGGAGAAAATTATTATATTATATACATTTTCATTTCATTATGAATTTAATATTCATTGTCAACCACTTATATATATATATAGTAATATAGTATTTTTCAAGAAAAAAAAAATGTTTTTCAACCTAGGCCGCCACATGTGGACCCGAAGTCCGGACCGGTCCGATGGGTGCTTCCGACTAGGTGAGAGCAGAATCGGTCAAACCTGGTCGACCCGTGCAATTCAACTTGACCTAGTCACTATTTTTGTAAAAAAATATTACTTACAGAAGTGTATACCAGTTCAGCAATTGACCCGCGATAATTGAACTGATGACCTCGGAAGCCTGCCCAGTTCTCTATGTCGGATTTAAAAACATTGGACAAGAAAATCATTAAGTAGATTCTCAAACATAAAGAATTTCATATTAATGAATTTCTAAAAAGATATATAAAATATAATTCATTGAATCAATTTATGTCATATTTTTTTTTTGTTTTTTAGTGTAATTCAGCTAAGTGTAAATGAGTACATGTACCTCTTAGATGTAAACCAAGTGGTACACCAAGGAATACGTGTAGTATTATTCATTATTAATAGTGCTAAAAATAATTATACTTGCAAAAATAAATATACATGACTTAATGGATATAAATGTAACCAAGTACATGTACATATGTGACCGCTAACCCTCTACCAGCGCAGCCGACACATTCAGTTCCGGACTCGGCAGGAGGCTCTGACAAGACATACGAGTGTATTTAATTGAGATTTCAAGTGATATTTTGAGATTTTTTTTTTTTTATATTTGAGACTTTTTATTATTTTTAGATTTCTATTTTTCTCTAGAAAATATTAAAAAATCTTAACAATTCCTAGTATTCAGATACCTTAAATATATCCAAATTTTATAAGACTTTTTAAAATTTCAGTTAAATACCCCAATACTACTAAAAGTCTTAACAAATCTAAATTGAATACGTCAAAATTTCTAAAGTTTTAAAAAGTCTTTAGAAATCCTAATTGAATACACAATATTTTTTCTTATGTTTCCTTTTTTACTTTTTAACTACGGTTTATTTGGCTTCTGGTTTTTGGCCATATACTTATTATGAAATAATAATAATAATAATAATAATAATAATAATAATAATAATAATAATAATAATAAACTGTACATGGGGTTTTGAAGCTATAAAACCTTATCATATCTATGCCCCTAATAAATTAGTTAATAAGACATGAAGAAAATCAGATAACTATAAGATAGGTACAATGCTAGAATAGCTTTTCCCCTAAAATTAAGATCCTTTTATCATGACATGTTTTGGAACCATTATAAACAAATCTATCTAAAGTACAGATCTATAAGCTCTAGGTAACGTGCTTATAGTTGTAAAAGAGTCGAGTCCAAGCCCGAGCTCGAGTGCCTTATCGACTTGGCTCGTTAATAAAATTTGAGCTCATGTCATCTATCAATATTAAGTTATTAATGAACTGAGTTATAAAAAATTACATAAAAATCTCTATTTTTGAGCTTTAACAAGATGAGTTTGGCTTGACTCGTTAACCAAACAAGCTCGAGCTAAACTTGTTTATCAAAGGAGCATAGCCAAGCTCGAGTGTTAAAAGAACCTAACAAAGCTCATGAGCGGCTCGTTGAATTCAACAAATCAATGATTTTTTATTGAAAAAGTTACCTAATTAGGTTGAATAATAACTCATCTGTTGTGAGAAAAATATATCATGTCTGAATGCAAGCAGACACAATCAATTGATTTGTATAAGAAACGGAGAAAAATGGGTGCGGTCCCACGCAGATGAAGCGCACCAAGACAAAGAAAGCCAGATGAAGCCCAAGTGAGTTCTATTCCAAAACCAATTGGTGGTAGAAGGAGTAACCCATTAAACTATTTTCTCTATATAAATGATGTTGGACAACTCACAAGTGAATATTCTAATACGTCACGGTCCCAATAGAGCCCTACTCGAAACAGACTCTCATAAACGGGTACGTCATCGCACGATCTCAATAGAACCGGCTCTGATACCATGTAAAAAAAGGGTACGTCATCGCACGGTCCCAATAGAACTGACTCTGATACCATGTAAAAAACGGGGGAAAATGGGTGCGTTCCAACGCAGATGAAGCCCTACTAGAAATAGACTCCGGGTACGTGGGGAAAACGGGTACGTCATCGCATGGTCTCAACAGAACCGACTCTGATACCATGTAAAAAACGAGTACGTCATCGCACGGTCCCAATAGAACCGGCTCTGATACCATGTAAAATATAATCGACTCTGATACCATATAAAAACAAGAGGAAAAATGGGTGCGATCCCACGCAGATGAAGCGCACCAAGACAGGGAAAACTCAGATGAAACTCAATTGGGGTTCCATCCCAAAACCAATTAGGTGGTAGGAGTAGTAACTCATTAGACTTATAAATTAGGCTTATTTTCTTTATATAAATGATGTAAGACAATTCACAAGTGAATATTCTAATATTTCGCGAGAGATAATAAAAATGATTAATATACTTTTAGACACATAGTCAAACATCAAACTTTTCTAATGTGTTTACTGAATAGTAAAAGGCAAAAAAGAAAAAAAAAAAATCTGAAATAGGCTATGTATACCCTTTTTAATTAAGTTTTTCCCCCTTCTTTTCTTTTCTTTTCTTTTTTTTTTTTTTTCAAGTTTCAAAATGATATTTACACCTGCATTTGTTACAAATCTATCACAAGTATATAGAACTGTTGAAATGATCCCACGCCTCCTGAAGAATGTCGAAAACTTTCTCTGCAATGTACTTTTGATGAAAAGCAGCACCTTTCTGCTGAAGCTTATCTGGATGAAGCCTTAGTAGAGCTTTTTGATAAGCTCGTTTTACCGAATTTGTCTCGATTAAATCGACAAGAGGAACCGGCTGCCATTCACTTCCACTCCAAAGAACCTATATGTGACCGTATAAATCTTATTCAGTTACTAACCGATAATTAATCACATGAATCGTGTTCGATTTATTTTCCTTACGCATTGCAATGTTGACAGAAGCGAACGGATATTTCCTTTCTTCCCGAACGACCATTGCTGAATTTTTGCATCTATAGCCTGCATTTATGTTTAGAGAAGATAAAAAAGAGCATGTAGTTAGAAAAAATGATCGTAAGCACTTTCAAGAAAACGCCTACGGTACGAAAATAATCTTTATGATCTCTCTTTTGCTAGTGAAAGATTTATCAACTGATGAAAATCAAGTACAAATGCTTCCTCCACATAAATACTCGACTCTCTCGAATAACTTCATTGAAATTCATCAAGTTCGACTCTCAGTACCAAAAAAAGAACTTACTTTCGTGTCCTGTTGCGCGACCTTTTCATGATCATTATATAATTCACGAACCTGGAAAAAACCACGTCAATCCTAAAGGTCAAAATCTGATCGCCCGTATTTAAGATTCGCCAAAAAGAAAAAAAAAAAGGTAGTCTGAAGAACCACATTTTACAATTGACTAAGCTAAGACTGAGACTATTAAAGGAACAGAACATATATACCATGAAGTTGACTTCTAAAGGATCATCAATATTTTCCGGTGCAACCTTTGATTCCTTGTGAGACGACTCTGGGGAAATACAAAACCATATTATATCTGAGAATAGAAATAAAAATTCTAGTGTAATAGTCCATTTTCAGACTATTTACATTTCATAACAAAACTTAAAAACAGAAATATAGAAAAGCGCAATTCGATTCTAATGTACAGTGAGTCAGTCAGACTAAACAAAGTCTTGGCCCAATACTAATTTGCTGATAATATAACAACTGACCTGAAGAAATGTTTTTCTTAACATTGGTTGAAACAGGTTTACTCAGGTGCTCTCTTGATCCTTTGTCGTTTATTATGCTCGCATCGACCTGAAATTTCGAAAAACTGATAAGATGACATATTATGCATATCCATCAATCAAATTCATCATCCAAATTCGTTCGACTTAACCTTAAGGAAGCAAAAAAAGAATACCTTGAGTGAAACATCTGATTTATTCTTCTCTTCATTAACTTTTTCTTTAGCTTTTGCCGCGTTCAAAATCACTCGGGTCTCGTTTTGGTTGAAAATCTGAACAAACTCTTTCACCTTTCCTCTGGACACACTACTTTTTCCTGAATTTGCAGCTGCTGCACCATGTTGTACCTTGTTGACATTGGCCTTTTTTTCATGTTTTTTGCCATTTTTTACGTCTCGCAAATTAGCCGCACCAATTTCTTTTGGAGTTCTATCCTTTTCTTCTTTCATTTCCACAATGTTGCCTTGGAGAAAAAAAAATCAGTAGACATTTTTTTTTTTCATGTTATCAACAATGTAATTATGATAGCAATTCGTATCGATGAATCATTACAAAGAAAGAAAATAAAAAATCACCTGGCTTTGGCTTCTGCTCGACCTCGTCACGATGCAGAAAAGCTCGAAGAGGCTTCTTCGCTTCTTTCTTGAGAGCCTTAATCTCCTTCTCCAAAAGGACTTGTCTTTCAACTTTTTTCTCTACACTAGCTTTTCTGCCTTCAAGAACTACATTTTCATTTACACTTACTCCTGATTTTGTTTGTGAAACTTCATTTTCGAGCTCCATTGTTATATCATCATGGTAATAGCTGCTTTTTTTCGACGTCAAACTATTCCCGGCCAGAAAGCCCGGCAGCAGAACCGGGACATCCCGGCCCACCCATTTATAAATCGAGAAATGGAAAGTTTCAGCATTGTTTTTAGCAAGAGGCGAATCATAAGAATCGACTCGATTTCTTCTCGTGTTATGATCCTGGCCCTTGATCGACGGACTCGAAAATCTTGATGATGGGCTCGAAGGTTGTGGAGTGCTTAATGCGTTTATGTTCGAACCAAAAGGCTGGAGCTCGACGGTTTTGATAAATTTTGCAGGGAGACTGAGAATACATGAAAAAACAAATTAACAAAAGCTATATATGATAATGTCTTTGCAAAACAAGTATCTTATTACCTTATGCAACTATGCATAAACCAAAGTGATGAATACTGAATACAAATAGAAGCTGATAATTTGGTTGAGCCAAGACAAAATTCAAAATATTAAACCAAAAGCACCCAATCAAAAGTAGAACCTATATATAATATGCAGAACATTCAATCAAAGATTCAATTTTTATCCAGCTAAAATTAACATAACCACTAAACAGAACAGTACCTAAACTGAGTTGGTAAGGAGGTGCCAAAAGGCTCGGCTTTAGGCGAAAAGTGCCTAACCGGGCTCATGATCCTCGAACCAGGGCCCGACCCGAACACACTATCTCGATCAGCTTCCTTCGAACCCCTAAATATGTCGTCGAAAAAGTCGTCCCTTTGCTGCCTCCTTCTCGGCCCGCTTTCCTCCCCGAAAATGGGCTTCTCGACCCATGGCGATCGGGCCTTCTCCTTATTGGGCTCCTGCATCGAAAACCGCCTCGGCGGGCCCCCGAAAACATCGTCGAAGTTCCCATCATCGGAGCCCGGGCCCACATGAACATTTTCCCTCTGCATGAACTTCTCCATTTCTTGAACAGAAGACTATTATGAATATGGTGATGGTGTGTTTTTCTTTTAATGAATAAAAGGAAAGAATTTAAGGGGACAAGAGATTTTGTTTAGTGGGGTTTAAAGTTTAAACACTTTAGTGAGTTGAAACTGAAGCCAGAAAATGGGTTTCAAGTTTGCATCTAATCAGGCATGTTCTTTGGTTCAAAATGAGGATAAGGTGAAGTATAAAAAATAAATAAATAAATAAATAAAAAAAGAAAAAAAAAAAGGAGGGAAAAGTATGTGCTAAGACAAAACTGTTTTATTCACCCAACAATTTTCTGGAAAAAAAAAAAAAAAAAATTATTTTCTTGGCAGCTGTTAACTTGAATTTTCAGTGAATGTTATGTGTTTTGGGGCAATTTATGATGTTTTATTGGTTATTAAGGATTTTAAGTAGGGACCAGTTGGGAGGAATGTGTGAAGGATGTTGAGAAGAACTATACTATCTCCAGATTTGGCTTCTTTTGTAAATGAAAGAGATGGTTTTTTTGGTTTTGAAAAATAAGTAGAATATTAGTATAAAAAGAAAATATAATTGCATTAGTTAATGTGATTATTTTATGATAATATAATTGTATAAATAGTACTACCTCCGTTTTAAATTATATGTCGTTTTGACTTTTTTGATTCATTTATTTTGCTATGTATGTAGACATTATTATTATCTAGATACATAGCAAAATGGATGAATCAAAAAAGTCAAAACGACATATAATTTAAAAAGGAAGGAGTAGAACCCAACTGTGTTAGTTAATATGATTATTTCATAACAAAGGTGATTAAATATTCATAAATGGAAATATTTCTGTTTTTTTAAAATAAAATCGCTGTTAGATGTTATGACGTTTGGTATTAGGAAAAAGAAAAATGAAACTCTAGTCTCAAGCAACTATGACTTCCCAATGAACCGCTCTTGATTTGATCTCCACTCGTCAAAGCTCGAGTTGTAACTCATTTAGAATCCGATAATAACAAGTTCGTTTTCGATTCACATAATTTGTTTTGTTTTTTTTTTTTTATAAATTTCCACTCTAACTCGGCTCGTTAAGGCCCGACTTTAGCACATTAAAGCTCAAGTCTCACTCATTATGATTGATAAACGAGTCATTTAGATAACGAGTTGGGCTAAGCTAGATTCGATAAAAGCTCAAACCCAAATTCGAGTATCAGAAGCTCAAACTCAACTAGGCTCGTGTAAGCTTATGTTGCAGATTGTTGACAAGGAAAAAAGTTAAAACGCAAACCACCACACCATAAAACACGGTCAGCTCAATGGTAGAAGTTCCATAATTTACCCTTCTCAGAGCATTGGTAAAAAGATCAGTATCTGTGTAAAATTTTCAAAAATGCAAGTCCTCAATATCCCAGTTCATGAGAAAAATGGTATATTGGGTGTCAGTTTTTCCTTCATGAGGAAATTTATAACACCTCAAAAATGTAGGTAGGGGGAAAAAAAAAGAAATTATCTGCTATTTTTGGTCAGTCTATACACTGTGTACGTTGGAACCAAGCAATCGATCATCCTCTTTGGGCATATCCATCATGTTAATCTGGGCATTCGATTTCGAGTTGGTTTTGTTCCACTCATTCTCGACCCGAAAGAAAACCCACTGAAAACGGCGCAACATCTCAAGGACGGTTATAGTGAACACTGTAAGGTAGTTATGGCGAAGATGGGCCGATAGCTTGTATGTCCAAGTACACCTCAGGATAAGGTTGCTCCCGATCACCCAAAAGTACACCTGTAAAGTTCCGACTGTAAATATTAAGTATGAAACTCAAAAAATAATAATAATAATAATAATAATAATTTTCAAAAAACATGAATGACTTCTCAAATCTCAATACACATTTATTCCACAAATGCTTATATGGATATTTTTGGTAGAGGAACAATTTATAGTTTTGCAAGTTTATTTATACTTGCAGTAAACCTCACCTTAGTTTGTAATTTATCTCATCATACTGAAAAAACAAGAAGTATGAAGAATTTTCACTGTCTCGGTTAGGTGTGATTCCATCTGGTAACTAAGTTTTGCTTTGAAGAAGCCACAAACATGAAATTCCAAGAGCACAATGTAGAGTTTATTATGTAATCCAATTTTAATCCAGAAGCATAATTAGTCGAAATCTGATTTAGTGATAGTGCTAGGCTAGGGATTTAGGCATCGTCAGAGTATATCAAAAGAGAGTAAGATTAGACATTAGTGATAATCAAACAAGGTTAGAGGAATTGCATTACCCATTTCCTTCCATATAACAAGTAGGATAAGATATGTGGCTTGCTGAACTTGAAAATTCGGGTGAAGCAACTGGCAAGAGAAAGAACAACTGTATCAAGTTTCACTTAACACAAAGCATAAAATCAGTTGGCCCATTTTCTTGAGAACGTGATCTCAATTCAGCTTTAGGTATAAAATCCATTTCACTGAAAAATAAAAAAGAAACAAAATATATTAAACTAATGTCTCAGTAAACTGTACCTCAAGTCCCAGTCCCGTGTAATATCCCAGTAGAATGAATACAAAGAATTCAATACACTTGACAGTAGCCATAGAGGCCGATATATATTCGTCCATTTCTCAGGGAAAACATGATACTTGAGTGCCGAAAGGAAAATAACTGGTACCGCTGTTGAATACTTTAAGGCTGAAACAATATGAAGATCAAGTTATGCATGAAAAAATTAATGAACTCATGAGGGGTGCTTACAAAGTGGACCGTGAATAATTCCATGACTGAACCAAAAACTAAAAGCATGCTATTACTTTTCCTTGATGTTCATCCACTGACACAATGATTGCATGATTGACCAAAAGTAGCTTGGAAATTCAAAATTGTTACTGGTTAAAGCAGATATTCTCATACAACTTGCCAATGTTTAAAAGACCGACTAATTGGATAATATCCAGCTATCCATATAAACCAAATGGAAATAGGGTCGATTTAGCATGCATCAGGATATAAGTAAGTCCAACAGTTCCACGTTACCTATTTCAAGTAACTCCAAATGTAGATTTCACCTTATAGTAAAAGAAACACATGCAGACACACCAAACAGAGACACGGCAACAGACAAATTCAAACAACCTCATTGCCTCACAAACCAAACTACCAAAGGCTAATTGAACAACATACCATTAAAAAGAGCTGTCTTTTCTTTTGTATCCTTGTATTGCCGGAGACATTGAAAGAACCGGAAAATATAGGGCAAAACGAGAACAATAGGTATTGCAATAGCGTGACTCCCGCACACAGAATCTGCTTCAAACCATGCAATTGTAGCAACCTGCACATGCAGGGAACCACAATAAAGAAAGGCAAATTTCATGGGAAATTAATGCATCACCCTGAAACAGTGCAACAAAAATCAACTGAAAGTTTGATAAAACTTCCATCAAACTTCTAGCTTATTATAACACAATGCTCAACATTGCTGGAAAGTATGAACTGTTACATTGTTCTAATAAAGCTAAAGAGTGTAACTGCAGTTGTGAACAGGCTTCTTAGCCGCAGCCAAGTAGAGTCGGACTACATAAGAATATTTGGATAAGTGATAACTATACTGATGCTGACCTGGCGATGGACCATCCGACAAACTGAACGCTCCAAATCTGAGAAAACCTGCATAAGAGGAGAAAAATAAGAAAATAAAAAAGCTTGGCACGTTGTAAAGTCCGCAAAGATGGGAAACAGTCTCTAACTAAAATTATTCTTCAAAACATGAATTATCCATTCATCTGGCTGTTATACAAGAATTTTCCCACTGAAACAGTGCAGGAATTTGTAAAAGAAGGTTGTAGCTCAGCTAAAATAATTGTCATATCAATGTTTCATCTTGATTTTAATTTCCATTGCTATTCATGTAATGAGAGCATGCAGCATGATGATTTATGAACATCAAGGACAGTCATGAAGGTGTTCCTTACAGAAGCACAAACACAATATTATGTACACATAATCTCTGAACACTTTCCTTAAAAGAAACTTAAAGCCTCTGACTTAAAAAAGAATAACAAAAATGAAATCAGCTGGTTAACTTAATGCGAATTTTGATAGGATTATGAATCATTAATTTTACCAACCCACTATTTATCTCATGCATCGACCCAGGAACCAAATAGAAACAATAAAAGTAAAACCAGCAAGTGCAGTAGCTCATAGAGCAAATCAACCCACCATCATTGTGTTGATCTCATACAATAATCACTTTTGCTGCATACTTTAAAAAGAGTGTGTAAATTAATTCAACAAAGTTACACGCTGCGCTCCTTCCAGCAAACCTCTCTCTGCCTGTTCTCAATTCTGGTTTTGGTTTTTCTACTTTTCCTATTTTAGTTTTATGAATAACTCCAAGTAAAACATTCATATTAAAGAAATAAATCCATTATCCGTTCAAAACAAGTATCATATTGGGAAACAATTCATATTGGCAGGATTCACAAATTCAACAGGATGCATACCTTTGACATGGAGGTGAATATATCAGCCAAAAAAAAGTCAGCAAATGATATTGCCTGCAGTCACAAGGTACAATTATATGAAGAAAGAAAAAATAATTACTGCAGAGTTCAGAACATTCCTTTGTAGATTTGGCCATTACAGAGGCACAGAGAATTTAGGTGCAGAGAAAATTCTTGATCAATTATATCAGATGACATAGAAATTGGCGATGAGATTCAGGGTTGTTATTTGTTTGCTAATACTTAGGAAGAAGAGATACAATAAAAAGTTGTTAATTACAGAGTACAAGTGAACCCATCAGATCTGAAAGCAGGCTTTTAACTGGTGAAGAGAATACCACCATGGAGAATGTGATGGACACAGATTTTAGTTTTGACTCCTGATTACATATGTTATGTATGTTGGGAAGCAAAGGGAGTTTACTTAAAGTGGTCCCTTGGTTTTTACACTTATTTCTTTGTTCTGTTCTCCACTAAGCAACAAAATGGCAAGTAATATTTAGGATCACA